AGTCTCAGAGGCCTGATCCACAGCAAGTGTTATGGGCAAGAGTGGACACATATTGAGGACTTCTGATGTCTCTCTATTCAAAATGCCACCTTCCTTGACCTCCACAACTCCATGTGCCATGTAATGTTCTACTCAGACCTTTGGCATTGCTCAGGAAACTGAGCAATTACAAGGTAAATTGAGAAATTATTCACTTTAACTTGCACCAGTGGCCTGGTCAGTAGGAGGGACAGGATGTGAACCCTACCTCTACTTCCAGGGGTGGCTGCCACCTCTGATACCTTTGAGTATTAGGAAATGGCAGAGTGTGGCATGAAACAATACCACCCTACGGCAACTTTCTGAGGATAGATACAAGTCCTCTCAACTAAAGAGAAAAGCATGATCGTGTGTCTGGTGCCTAATATATGCACAATAATTAGGTATAATAAATTAAGATGTTGTCTATAAAATGCTTGGTATGATGTGAGAGAGATCTGCTTTTAAGGTAGGAGAATACCAGCCAGAAGACAATTGTCACTTGTTGTTGAGATTCTGAGTCTTCACAACTTTACCCTCCCTAATCACATATACCCCGCCCTCCAGCTTGGTCCCAGGCTGTCCGCTGCTTAGAGAAATGAGACTCCTCAAATAGAAGTAAGACACTGTGCTCTCAAGGCCCCACCAACACCTTAGCTGTAGCTGGAGTTACTGTAGTCAAATATGCCCCGTCCTAATGGCTCTGGGATGAGAGGAAGTGGTTGGGACATGATGTACTTAATTCCTTTTCAGAAGCATGGGGAGGGGAGGGGAGGAAGGAAGTCAGTCACATGGTATGACTCCGATATTCACATACTGAGGGAACAGATGTATAGTTGGAAGGATGGGTGAGTGGAGAGATGAATGGATGATTGGATAGGTGGGTCGACAGATGGGCGGGTGGATAGATGATAGGTAGATAGATAGATAGATAGATAGATAGATAGATAGATAGATGGATAGATAGATAGAAAGATGGGTGGATGGGTAGATGGGTGTGTGGTAGATGATGGATGGATGGACAGACAATTATAAGTAGAGGTGCTCATATATCTATTCCTCATGTGAATAATAAATGGCTTGGTCTGATTTCCTGAAGATTCTTTAATAATTTATTTACATTATTTTATTTGCACTGGTGTTTTGCATGCATGTATGTCTATGTGAGGATGTTGGAATCCCTGGAACTTGAGTTGCAGACAACTGTGAGCTGCCATGTGGGTTCTGGGAATTGAACCCAGGTCCTACAGAAGAGCAGCTAGTGTTCTTAATAATGGAGTCATCTCTCCAACCCCTGCTGAAGATACATTTTTCTTCATTAATTTATTCATTGGTTCATTGTACATCCCAATCACAACTCCACTCCCTCCTCTCTTCCCATGCCCACCCTCCCATCCACTCCCTCATATAAACCCATTTGATGGCACATTAAGTTCCATCAGGTCTAAGTGCCTCCTCTTTCATTGAGGCAAGACAAAGCAGACCTCCTATAGAAATGGGATCCAGAGGGAGGCAACAGAGTCAAAGTCAGAGACAGCCCCTTCTCCAATTGTTAGGAGACCCACTATAGCACTAAGTAGCCCATCAGCTTCATATGTGTGAGAGGCCTAGGACTAGTCCATGCATGTTCTTTGGTTGGTGGTCCAGTCTCTATAAGCTCCCATGAGCCCAGGTTAGTTGGCTATGTAGAGGTGTCCTTGACCTCTTCTGCTCCCTCAATCCTTCCCCTAACCCTTTTAAAAGACTCCCTGAGTTCCACCTAATGTTTAGCTGTGTGTCTCCGCATCTGTTTCCATTATCTGCTGGATGAACTCTCTCAGATGTCAGTTATGCTAGCCAGGTCTATAAGGATAGCCAAGTATTATTAATAGTGTCAGGAGTTGGGTCTCCAATGGAGTGGGTCTCAATATTGGGCCAGTCATTGATTGGCCATTTCCTCAACCTCTATTCCATCATTTATCCCTGCACATCTTGTGGGCAGGACACATTTTGGGTGGAGGGTTGTGTGAATGGGTTGTTATGCCCCTCCCTCCACTGGAAGTCCTGCTTGGCTACCAGACGTGGTACTTCAGTCTCAGTATCCCCTGCTGATAGGAGTCTCAGCTAGGACCACTACCACATATAAAGAACTTAAAAATTAAACACCAACAAACCAAATTTTAAAATGGGGTACAGACCTAAACTGAGAATTGTCAACAGAAGAATATCTAGTGGTGAAGAAGCACTTACAGAAATGTACAGTGTCCTTAGCCATCAGGGAAATGTAAATCAAAACAATTCTGATACACCCATTAGAATAGCTAAGATCAAACCTCAAGTGACAACACATACTGGCAAGGGAGCACTCCTCCATTGCTCATGAGAGTACAAACTTTTACAACCACTTTGGAAATCAGTCTGATGGTTTAAAAAAAAAAAGAGGGGGGGAATAGTCCTACCTCAAGATCCAAATATACCACTCCTAGGTATATGTCCAAAATATGCTTCATCAAACCACAAGAACATTTGTTCAATTATGTTCATAGAACCTTTATTTGTAATAGCCAGAAACTGGAAACAACCCTGATGCCCCACAACTGAAAAATGGGTAAAGAAACTGTGGTACATTTACACAATGGAATACTATTCAGCTGTTAAAAACAAGGAAATCATGAAATTTGCAGGCAGATGGATAGAACGAGAAAGATCATTCCCAAGTGAGGTAACCCAGACCCAGAAGGACACGCATGCTCACTTGGTCATAGATATTAGCAGTAAAGTAGAGGATAACCATGCTATAATCCACAGACCCAAAGAAGCTAAGTAACAAGCTAGGCCCAAGGGAGGATGCTTTTATCCCACTAAGAAGGGAAAATAAAATAGACATCACAGAGATTGCAAGTAGAGGGAGAGAGGGAACTGGGTGAGAGAAGGAGTGGAGAGAGGAATGAGGGGTGAAATCTGGTGTGGTGAGAGTGGGAATGGGAGAGAGAAGGGGAAGTTTTGTGGCATCTGTAGGACAAGCTAGAGACCTGGGATTAGGGAGGCTCCTAGGAAGATACTGAAGATTCTTAATAAGACTTTTAAGTCCAAGTTCATGGCAGAGCTGCAGTAAATAAGGTCCTACTTAATATAAAATGATACATTACCACTCTGTGAGGGAAGACGGTAGATGAAGATGGCTGAAATAAGTAACTTCTGAATTTAAGAAGGACATTCTGTCATGCCCAGCTTTACTGGCCCAGAGAGAGAGAGGTCTACGTGTGTTAGGAATAGGTTCAGTTTGCTGAGACAGGTACCCACTGATGAGGCTTTCTTTTGTTCAGTGGAGCAACAGGAAAAATTTGTCTTCAGAAAAGAGAGAGGGAGACCCAGGACTTGGCTTTATAGTTTGACCCCAACATACTTAACACTGCTAGAAATTTTCTGCTAGGAATGTCTGTGCAATTAGTCAGATTTTACCTGGCTTAGGAATGATATTAACAGCCATGGTTTGGCACATAGCATTTCCTGCATTTTATATATAGTGTGCACTTTTTATGAACATCTCAGAAGTTAGGCTTCTTCTGATAAAGGAAAAAATAAGCAGACATTCAGAGAGGCAAAGGAATTTACCCAGAGTCATATAGCCCTTTGGTGACAGGCGTGGAATGCCTCCTTGGGTACTCTAATTCTAAAGCTATTTAAAAAGCAGACGTCTAAATACATTTCAGTGTGTCTGTCCCACAGGTTATCATTACACTTGTAGAGTGTACTAAGCATCTTGAATCTCATCTGTTAACTGGAAACAGCAGTTACAACAGAAGTTTCTGGAACTCTCATCCTACACACAGCTCAGTTGAAAAGATTTGCAACTCAGCATCTTCTAGCAGCCCTCTGTAGACTATGGGATGTATGTCCCCTAACACAAAAGCATCACTGTCAACAACGACCTTTGTCCTTAGTCTCTTGCAAGTACCAAGGCTCTTTTTCCCCCCTATGTAGGCCCTTAGAGCTCCTAGTTGCGTATATTTCATGACAAGCTGGGTGAATTGAATACATCAAACTTTCTGAGCCTCCTTCTTTCATAAGTCAAAAGCAAAGAACAACTGTAGACTTACAGTGCAGTTCTGAAGATTTAGTAAAATAACTTAGTATTACATCTTCCAGTCACTCTGAGCAGCAAGCATCTGCTCAAATGTCATGCAGAGCCTCACACAGGCCTCTCTGAGGTTTCAGCTCAGAATCCTGTGCACGGCCCCCAGGAAGGCTACTCTGATGTTTCAGCCCAGGTTGTTTTCTGCCACAACTTTCTCTCAGAATGCACGTACCCATTTAACATGCACCATGCCACAATTCTTAGCAAATTCTGAATTTCCCACATCTCTCTCATTTATAACATTTTATGATGTCAGAATTTATATGCATTGTATGTTGGCCTTCTCTATAGTGTTCCCTCTCCCATCTGCCCACCTCTTACTTAGATAATTGTCAATTATCTGTGCCACGTTCCCCAGGAAGATTTTTAACTACCAGTCTCCACATGAAACTATGACTGTCATTCAAGGCCCTCTGCACCTTTAGACACAATGGCTGGCTGACAGCCCTCACTGAGCACCTACCGTGTGTCTGGACCTATCTCCTATCTTGAGCACTGTGCATATGCTACACCAATTCATCTAACCAACATCTGTGTGATCCAGGCAGCACTCTTTCCATTCCATAGGGGAGAACATGGTGGCTTGCTCAAGGCAACACAGCTGTCCTAGCTGTTTCTTGAGTCAGACTGTCCCCTGACAGAAAAATGGGCTGCTCGTTCGCCTGCCACAACACCCCTCCTTTCATTTCTAACTCCCCCCATCCTCTGAGCAGTCACTGTGCTTGGGGGAAGGACTTCTCCAGGACCATTCCCTGCTGAATTTCAGGTGTCCTCTGCCTTCCCAAAGACCAGCCCAATTCTCTGTACCACACAAGGGCTCCTAGAGTCTCTCTCCTCCCTGTCCCAGCCACAGTCCCCTAAATACCTTCAAATGCCGAACATGGCTTCTTCTGGGAGTTGGCAGCAGAGGGCCAGCAGGGACAGAGTCACCAGCTCTCCATCAGCCGTTGCTGCTCCAGGCGAAGTGGACCACACAGGCTCAGGAGGGAGTGCAGGCAAAGCTCATGTTATCAAGCAGCGGGCTGCAGTGTTGTAGTTGCTAAAGAGCCTCAAACTTCCTCTGCTGAAACAAGGAAGGCAAAGGCTAGGGGCTGGCAGGAGGGCAGGTTCCTGTTTTCACCAACAGCACAGAGCAGACTTCTTTCTGTAAGGACGATGGGGGGTGGGGGAAGAAGGGACGTATTAATTCCTTTCCAAAGCACTTGAGAATATAGACAGCTTGAATGTAAATGGCCAGGCCTTACAGAGATGCACTCCTTTTCTCTCTCTCTCTTTCTAATTAAAAGGCAGATGGGGCTGTGAATTTGCCTGTGTGTGTCCCCAGAGCTCACCGGGCCCAAAGAGGCTGAGGATAGCTCACTGCAGCTTTTCTTTCCAGAGTTTGTTCATTTTTACAGCTCTCTTGCGTCACTACAGAAGCACAGTCCCTGGAGCTTTGGCTCTGTCCAGAGCACAGTCCCTGGAGCCGTGGCTCTGCTATAAGCCAGTTTCAGTTGCTAGAGACCTAACACAGTGGACAGCTACCCCTGCACATAGCAGAGATGCCCAGCAACATTCCCACCTCTGCTGTGCTACTGCCAGAAGCAATTAAAAGACTCTTGAGATAGAGCTTAACAGACAAAAGGGAGTGGTGGAATGCAGAATGAAGTGATTCCTGAGGAAGCCCAGATTCAAGGAGAAAGAACTAGAAGGAACCACTTTGCCTTGACGAACTCATTTTAACTGGAGGCCTTCATGTCCTCATCGGTCAAATGGATGAGACATCCAGGCCCACACTGCACACAGATGATGTCACATGGAAGTCAGTGCTCTAGGACACAGTGATGCTAGATGGTCACTTGGAAGAAGGGTCTAACCCCTGGGGAACACATGTGTGCTGACATATATGGAGGAGAGTATCATTGTGAAACGTTTCACTAACACAAATACACTCAAGAGGAAAGGAGGGAGTGAGGGAGAGAGAGATGGAGTGAAGCAACTTCCATGAGGACTCAGGTGACAGTGGCTACCTGTACATTGCTCTCTTTCAATTTTTTCCATGGTCTGAAATTGGAATAGATATGTGCATTTATAGTATTTCATATGGAGTATATATCATTTCATAGTGTGTGAGTCTGTAGCAAGGAAACCTACGGGAGTGCTGCTAGGTGTGCTGCAAGGTGCTATTTCTGATCAGAAAATGGCAGATAGCAGTGCCAGAAGGACCTTCCTACAAGCCGCTCTCCATCATTTTCATTTCCAAAGTGAAAAACCCCTCAGAGAGCTTAATGGTTTCTCACAGTCCACAGCTAGTCACAACAGAGCCAGAGCATAGTCTGGGGTTTATGACCCAAGGACCCCACCCAGCTAGGCCAATGCAGAAACTCAGGACAGTCATTTAGAAACCTCACTGGGTGTCCTTTGCAAATATGCATTACAAATAGTGGAGCAGCATCTAAATTTAGTGGGTGCTGTGTACTAGACAGACTCAGCTGGCTTCTGAAAAGCCAGCTCTTTGCAGAGCATGCTGGGAAGGTGCAGGCAGATGGTGTAAGAACTTAGTAGAAGTGGCCTCAGTGAGGAAGAGCAAGCAAGTGCAATCAGCTGAAGTGGGGCTTCTCCCCCCGACACACACACACACACTGAGGAGTGACAGAGCTCTAGAGGGAAGGATGCTCAGAAGGCAAGAGTGGGCTGACAACTTTTTAAGCTTCTATTCAGAACCCTTCATCGTTGAATGAATGCATTCTTGTTGCTGGCATCCCTTCAGTTAACATGGCTGGTCAGAGTGCCATCCAGTCACTGGGATTCAGCCATGATATTAAACCAGTGGAAGCTCTGCCTTCCCTGAGCTCGCCTTACCAGAGCCATCAGAAAAGAGACCTGGAGGGCAGCCCACAATTACAGGACTGCTCTAAGGGAGATATGGTGAGCACTAGGACAGATGTCCACAGGTGGTGGTGGTTGGGGACAAGGCATATTTGGGGAGTCATTGAGTTATTACTTTAAGGGTCAAATAGCCTCAGAACAAGCCAGAGAGAGAGAGATTCATTGACACAGAAGAAACTACTTTTTTAACCATGGAAGTCTGAGGAATGTCAATGGCAGAGGGAGACAGGTAATGAATAAAGTGCATCCCAAACCTGAGCTCAGACCCTATAGGGTCAAGGCTTGTGGTAGGGCAGAGAAAAACCTTGTTACTTTGCCTCAATGGCCTCTTCTTTTGCCCTAAGTACCCTTCTGTGGTCCATCTTCCACCCTGCACCTCAGAAGTGCATCAGCCATCCTTTCCTCATTCACAAAGAGGGACTGGGTATGAGAACATTGACATTTATTCATGTATGTGTTGTGAGAATCATTCACTCACTCACCAGCCTTTGGCAACACTAGGTATGTGCCAGGTGCTGTGCATGGTCAGCACAATGTGCCAGTAAAATGAGGCCCTGTCCTCAAGGGGCACCCAGTAAAATGTTCTTCCCAGATGCCCAGATTTGGTATAAAACGGGTCACTGCCCTGAATCTGAACTGAGTAGGACTGGAAACTTCTATGTCTGTGCAGAGTGGACTCCACAAAGATGGCATAGATGGATCTAGCCATCCTTGTCCTTGAAGATTTTAAAATCTAGTAAAGAAGACAGAGCACCTGCTAAAATCCACAGACTAAAAACAGATATGAGTAGGAAAGAAGCCTAGAGAACCCAGAAGACTCCTGGCCTTCAGTTCTACAGTGCACTGAAGTTTAACAGGATAAGGCCAGAGTTCATCCTTACAGTGGGGTTTCATTCAAGGACATTAATGCATGGAGTCAGTACTAAAGATAGGTGATGGCCTTCCAGGGGCCTCAAGCTAAGTGTGTGATCAGCCAGGCTGAGTGGTACTAGCAAATGACAGCTACCTCTCAAGTGGTCACAAAGCCACTCAAGCCATCTGTGTCAGATTTCCAGAGGGCTTTGCAAATTAATTAGCTTTCGGTTACCCAGATAAATGGCCATAGGGAGACACCAAGCTGTGAGCCATGAGTGAGCCAAGGATCGCTCAGTGAAGTGGGACAGTGTGGTTTCTGCCCTTGATAAGGGGACAAGATCCCCTGTCAGGGGTCAGCTGCCATGGTCTCCAGCTGGAGCTGGCAGACTCCTAACTGAAACAATTCAGGGCTCGTTTTTCTGGCTTCAGTTCTCCTGGAGGCTTTAGACTCGTAGAGAGATACTGTATGGCAATTTAGTGTTTCATGGCAGTGGTGTAAGATTCTCAGCAGGTCCCAAGTCTGGGAAGTTTAGGCTTCATTTTCCTTCTTTCTGTGTAAATATTGGGAAGAACAGATGATGCAGAAACCAACCTTAGGAGCCAGTTAGCATCCCTCGAGTGGAAAGAAATGAGTGCCAGTGTACTTGGTTAGGCAGTTCAAAAGCACTTAGATGCCTTTCTTGCCTATGGGAACACCCTGCCTCCTGCAGGTGTGTAGTCAGTCCTCCGGGGCTACCCAGAGCTCACCTGTTCCCTGTAGATCTCAGAGCTCTCCCAACCAGAACTGAAAACTCCATCCTGGACACACTCTTGGGAGCTGATTTGTAACGTAGGAGTCCGTGTTAAGAGATAGTGTCCAGATAGCTAAAGGCAGGACTATATGACCCTGTTCAGATTTCCAAGTCTCTGACAGAACCTATTACTAATACTAATATTTCTTGCTCATGAAATCTCCTAATGTGTCATAAAATCATCAAGGCCGCCCTTTCTGTGGACCCTTGGAAAGAGCAAAGTTGGTCTGATGCTGCACTGGAGGCAGTGAGTCCAACACTTGGCCACTGTATCTGCCCTGAAGAGGTGATCCACAAGTATCCACTGAATGAGTGAAGAGAGGAGATTATGGCTGGGAGACAAGAGCATTTGCATTTATTTCCCCTTGGCCTGTCTTTCTCATACAGGGGCAAGTAGACCGTACCATTTCTCAGGAGTTGAGAGTCCTGCTTTGGGACTGGCTTAGACTTAGAGAAGTGGCCTGTGGGGAACTCTCAGTTCAGCCACTGCAGTGGAACCTGTGTGTTTCATCAGGCACTGTCTCTGCAGGAAGCTTCCTGGACTACAGTTCCTCAGGAAAAGAAAAAACTAGAAGCTCTGCCCTGTGGTCCCCTCTGCTCAGGAGGGTTGCACAAGTACCCTGACTCACTAGGATCCTGTTCTTCTGTCCTTGCTCAACAAAACCCACTAATGTGCCTCCAAAGCCTGTGTGGGTCTCAGCCCTCTATGGGTAACTTACTAACCTCTAGATGTGCTAGCTTGCAGGCCACCATCTTTCCTAAATCCAACTCAGACACTTAGCCCTTGAAATGCTTGTGATGGAGCCTCTGTGGGAGAGCGCAGAGCAGAGCTTTGGGGAGATGGGCTGTCACTTGCTCTACCCACTAGGGCTAACTGAGTGAAACAGGGTTCAGGAGTAAAGCAGAACTGGGCAGCATGGTAGGGAACACGGGTGCACAGGGACCCCAGAGGAAGCATCTGGCAAGGCTTTGGTGACTGAGGCTGACCAAAGGGTTGATGTTTTAAAGAGATCCTGAAAAATGGGAGAATTTGGCACAGCTAGACATCTGACAGGCTTGTGGGATGTTTTCTCCGCACCTCTTTTTTAATTCCTTTTTTTTGGGGGGGGAGGGGATGACTTCAGTTTTGTCTTGTCTGCAGTTGATAATTATGGCAGTACTGGCCACTGACAATCACCTTGCCTCTTTTACACATCCTCTGTACCTCTCAAATCTACTAGAGCAGGATTAATGAGTAAGCCCATCTGTATCCACTTCTTCCCAACCTGTTCTTGTTCCAATTGTCCTGGGCACTTCATGGATACTCACCAGGACTTCGTGGACCACGTGGTATTAGAAAAGATGAAGGATGGCAGGCATGGTGCTATCTGTCTGCAGCGCAACAGTTGCCATGGTAATCTATATCTGTACAAGGTTTTGCTGACCTTGCTGCTACTATTAACAGAGCAGAACCTCTTGCTGGGGATTTCCTCCTAGCTCCTCTCTTTCACCA